TAATAGCTTGTTCTATATATCTTTATTAAGTCTCTTTATAAATATCATTATTCAGGTCTTGTTTCAGAGCTCTGTTTTCACAGATCTCAATTCACATCATAATTTCATGAAATGCTGTGAGTAGTTTTCATCAGATTTCTCATCTCTTTTTCTAATATTAATGATCACAGTTCAGATATTCTCTGTTCAGCTTATAAAGTCTCTTAACTTATTCTCTAGATAGATCTTGAGAATAGATTAGTAGAATCTCTCATGATTATTCTCTAGATAATTCAGCCAGTTCTTGACTTCAGTGTAATAGAGATCTGTTATTATATAGATAACAGTTTCTTCATCTTTCATATCACACAGTCAGGCTTATAAGTCAATTTCAAATACAAACTCACAGAAGCTTTTATAGATTATAATTCAATAAGTGATCTTAAGTAATCACAGCTTAAGAAAGTTTCTTTTCAGTTCATGAATATCTTTGAAGATTATGTCTAGAGACTCAGTTCAAGAGTGTTTACAGATAGTAAGCATTTCTTATAGAAAAATAACTTAATTCTGTGAAAGATGCTCAAGAATATTCTTCACTGAGATTAATTCATTCATGAGTTCAGAGAGTTTCTCTGTCACAGATGCAGAAAATTATGTTTTATAAGTAATTGATAAGTTCTCTAAGACTTCTTTTATAAGAGCTATTCATAATTCAGATAACTGCTTCTGAGTGTCTGCAGTAGAGTTTGCAGAGATTAAAGTATATAAGTTTCTAGTTCTTTCAGTTATAACAGGCAGTTGCTGACTGACTGAGCTTGAAATGTAAGAATAAGTGCTCATAGATAATTATTCAGATGTTTGCAGCTTGATGTGATATATACTGTTAACTACTAGAAGTATTCACAGTAGAAAGATAAAATGTAGAGATTAAATGTATATTAGCATTCAAGCTGAGTTATGAATAGTATTCGCGAACTTCAGTCTATATAGTTGTGTGTAGTCAAGGGCTGCTAACCCTATTGATTACACAAGAGATAGAAATAGAGGTAAAGAATCCGCGAGGAGCGGGATTTCTTACACTCAGTGAGACTTACTGTTTACTCTTATTACATTTTTTAAATGAGATTATGATTTTCACTTCTTAATTTAAATTATTTTTATTGCTTTAAATGACTTTAAATCTTATTTAAGTATTATCAAAAAGTGTTACTTTTTAAAAAATTAAAAATAGTCTAAAAAAAACCTTAAAATGTCTAAAAAGAGTCACTTTATATTAAGAATAAAACTAAATGAGATTAAATGAGATTACTTTCTCATTTTTTTCAAGTCATAATTTCATTTTAAGATCTCATATATAGTCACTTTACATGTTTTTTTAATAACTAGTCTCAGTGGGATTCACATTAAGAAATGTATAAGATCAGACTAAACAAGATCAAATATAAAATTCATAATCTCAGCGGCTAGTCTATATATAACTATATAAACTGAAGTTTATAAATACTATTTATAACTCAGCTTAAATACTATTATATATTTAACTTCTATATTTTATTTTTATACTGTGAATACTTCTAGTAGTTAACAGTATATATTATATCAAGCTGTAAATATCTGAATAATCACTTATAAATACTTATTTTTACATTTCAAGCTCTCTCAGTCAGTAATCACCTGTTATAACTAAAAGAACTAAAAACTTATATACTTTAATCTCTATAAACTCTACTGTAGACACTTAGAAGTAGTTATCTAAATTATAAATAACTTCTATAAAAGAAGTTTTAAAGAACTTATTAATTACTTACAGAATATTATTCTCTGTATCTGTAACAGAGAAATTCTCTGAACTTATAAATAAATCAATTTCAATGAAGAACATTCTTAAGCATCTTTCACAGAATTAAGTTATTTTTTTATAAGAAATACTTACTATTTATAAACACTCTTAAACTAAGTCTCTAGACATAATTTTCAGAGATATCTATAAACTGAAAAGAAACTTTCTTAAGCTGTGACTACTTAAGATTAACTACTGAATCATAATTTATAAAAGCTTTTATAAGTTTGCTTTTGAAATTGACTTATAAGCTCAGCTATATAATATGAAAGATGAAGAAGCTATTACTTATATTATGATTCAAAGATTGCTTAAGTCAGTATACAATTACAGGCGTACGCTGGCTTCTTATATATCATACACTAAATTAATTAGTGGCTGCTATGACCTCTTTACACTTGTAAGTAAGTTCAGAAGCAGCTGTGTTATTATCTGACAGTTGTACATTCTTTTGAATCACTGTAAGAATAAGTGCTCGCAGGCGATTATTCGGGTGTTTGCAGCTTGGCGTGATATGTACTGTTAACTACTAGAAGTATTTGTAGTAGAAAGATAAAATGTAGAGATTAAATATATAATAGTATTCAAGCTGAGTTATGAATAGTATTTGTGAACTCCAGTCTATATAGTTATATGTAGTCAAGAGCCGCTAGCTCTATTGATTATATGAGAGATAGAAATAGAGATAAAGAATCTATAAGAAGTGAAATTTCTTACATATTTTCTCCTCTCTAAGACTTCATCTGCAAAGCCTTTCACTGAGTAACTTCATAGAATCAGCTCAGCACTGCAGTGATACTTACTAAAAATTCTTCATATCTATAAAAAATCTCAGTGAGGAAAAATTCTTTATTATTATAAAGAAAAAAGAGTCTGTCACTCAGTTTCTTATTTTATGAGATTCTTTGTAGTCTATAGATTCTTCTCTGACTATCACACAGATTCATCTTGTATCTTTTATATAGAAGAGTTCTGATTAACTCTTAATCATTTTCACAAGATTCTTGTATAATTATTACACAGATTCATCTCACAGATGAATCACTCTCTATAAGATTATTCTCATCAAAGAGAAGTATTTATGAGTTAATCTTTCACTTATTCTTATGAATCATTGTTCTTTAACACTGTAGAATTATGAGAAATTTTTCATTCTTTCATTAACTCTGTAGAATTATAGAGTCAAGATATTCATAGTCTATAATTACTCTTTATAGTTACATAGAAAGATTCAGATCTATAATTCATAATCACTCTTATTTACTAGAGTGATCTGACTATTCTATGAAATCACTCATAGTGTAAGTAAACCTCTCTAGAGTAGTATAAATATTTCAGATCTGTTCACAGAATCTTATCTTCTTTTCTCTTTTTCTATAACAGCTCTCATTCTTATAAACTGTGAGTATTCTCATTCATCTGTGAAGTATTTTTACTCAGATAATAGAGAGAGAGTATTTCTGACAATATCTATATATTAATTCAAGAACTTTTCAAGAATAAAAAATTTTTCAATTTCAATATCTTTACAATAATGTTTAATTACTGCTGAGCTTCTTATAAGCATTCTTATAACTTCTCTGATTGCTTTTCACTAGCTGATGAAGCAGAGATACTGCTGCTCATAACTGTGTCTTTATCTTCTTCAGTTCTGTTACTATATCTGATCTTCAGACTAGCAGTCAATTCCATGTCTTTTCTCAGTCAGTCTCTGACTCTGAGTAGCACAGTTCTTCTCTTTACTATAAGTCTTTTCATAAGTAATTTCTTACAGATTCTAGCTAACAGTTCTTGCAAAGCTCTCTGTGTTATCAGTGTCTTCTGCAGCTCTGCAGATCTACAATCACTTTTCTTCTACTCACACAATCTCTGATCAGATATATGTAAATATGTCTAGATTTCTCATCAATGATTCTTGTATCACAGCACATTTTCACAATCTCATTGTCAATGAGAGATGAATTCTCAGGTACCCGCAAAATCCAGATAATCAAGACAATGTGAATGCTATGAATTTGTGATAAGAGTTAATCTGAGCAGATAAACTCTCTCTTCATATCTCAATTATTTTCAGACTGAATACTTCAGCACAACTGAAAGAGCAGACACAGCTTTATAAGAGATATCTGATCACACACACAGATGACCAGCTCTCAAGACTCTGTCACAACTGTGTATACTCTGATATCTGACTTCTCTGAAGTCTATGCATTTCTGACAGTCTTTGTATCAAATGCAACAATTATCTGTATCACAGATATAATACTCTCTGCTTCTTTGAAGAGAGAAATTGATAGTTATAAAGAGATTAAGTATCACAGATATTAAGAGTATAAGTGTGAGTTTTCTTTATTTTTTCTTTATTAGTCTCTAAATTGTGTTCACAGCCCTGTTTATTTTCTTGTTTTTTAGCTTTAATAAGAATATGATTTCTTCTTTTCTTACATACACTGCAGACTGTTCATCTCAGTAGAAACTCATCATCTTATAAACTAGAATTTGTAAATGACAGTGTTAATATCTTTATCATAATCAGATTCTTAATAAAGATTATATTATTCTAACTTATCAGAATTCACAGTATAAAAGTTATATCTCAGCTTCTGCAGATATCTTATTTATCTGAATAATTCTTAAGTGAACTTATTTATCTTATCAGAATATTCTTATCACTGAATCTTGAATCAGAGCTTACAATCTCACTTCTTTGAGTTAATAATCTCTTTAATCTGATATTCTCTTTCACTCTCTAGTGCTTTATGAATAGAGTGATGAGTCACAGAATTCTCTTCTAAGAATTTCTTATATTCATAGAGTAAAGAGATATAAAAAATATTATATATCTGTAACTCAGATAACAGTTTCAATCTGTAGAACTATAAGCTAACTTTCTTTATAATCTTATAAAACTCTGTCTGTAAGAGATTCAGCTTCTTACTAGATCTCTGTATAATAATGTTTTCTAAACTCAGTCAGACTCTATCATCTTTCTTAAAACTCTTTATAATATACTTGAAGTCATAGTATCTCTTCTGATACTCTTGAGTCTTTCTCAAGAATTCACAGACTTTCTCTCAGATATTGTAAGAAGTCTACGCCGAATAGATCGGTATAATATTGATAGGTCTTATATAACAAAGATAAAAACGCTGGAGAAGGAAAGAAAGAGAAAGTGCGAGAATCAGCGATCGAGGTGGATATTTATATGTGTATGTGGTGGCGTACGCGGTGGAGCTTCGGGGCGGAAGAATATATGCGCGTTCGTAGCAGCCGAGGATCGGTGATCGAGAATGGCCGAGAATCGGAGTGGCGATCGAGAATGGCCGAAGATCGGAGCGTACGTGGAATCTGTGGAGTGTAACGGAATAGTCTATATGATTGATCAGGCGCAGCCCGCCACAGATATTCTGAATTCTCTCAGCCTGTTCACAGGTATCATCACACTCTATAGTATACTCTCACAGATTTATCAAGATCATTCACAGATAAGTCTCAGTAAGCATTTTAAAGAGGGTTTTATCTATACTGACATGCTTTGAGTTGTTATACACAAACTCTGTAAGTGATAATTAATACACTCAGTTATTCTAATTGTAATTGATAAAGCACTGTAAATACTGTTTCAATATACTTATCAGATGTTCTATCTGATCATCTGTCTGTTGATGAAAAGTCATGCTTAGATCTCATGAAATCTTCAGTATAGTTATCAGATCAGATCAGAACTCTTCTGTAAAGATTGATTCTCTGTCTGAGATAATATTCATAGACAACTTATGCAATCAGATCACATCACAGACAAAGATATGAGTCAAATTCTTTAACTTTAAGTTCTTATAGATGAGTATAAAGTGTGTCATCTTAGTAAAGTAATTCACTATCATCAGCACACTGTTAAAATAGATATTATATATGTTCTTACTTTCAGAGAGACTCACAAGAGTATTTATTTCTAGCTGTTTTTAAGGTTTTCATAGAATGAGTAAAGAAGTAAGTTCTTTATATAATCTGAATCACACTATCTGCAAACTCTGATAAATAGTATAAGAATTCACTATTTTCTTCACAAGTTCTCACATCTTCAGTCAGAAGTATTTTCTTATAAGTAACTCATGAGTTCTAGTATCTGTAAAATGACTCACTAGAGAAAAGTCATGATATCTTTTAATAAGTTCTATACATAGAAACTCATTCATAGATATATAAATCTGACTCTCTCTTTACAAGAGATTATTTAAGTCTCTTCAATTCTTTATTTCTGCAGCATTAGTCTCTGCTATAAGCAGTTTCTGAATATACTGAGTATATTCATTCTTCAGTTACAGTTCAGATAATCTGAATAAAAGATCTTATAAAGACTTATACTCTGTTTTCTCTTATATCAGGTCTTTCACAGTGCTTCTCAAAGCCTGTAAATTCTTCAGATTATAGATATTCTCTTCAAGAATTCTTACAGAGATTTTCAGAGTGTTAACTCTCAGTATTATAGAGAGTAGTTGTACAGACTTCTTCTCTTTCTTCTCTCTCTTTTCTCACAGAGAATTAAGAGACTCTTCAGTTAATCTCTTTATAACACTTAGTCTGAGCATTTTATAAAGCTTTTCTGCCTTCTCTAGTCTCTCTATATCTGTTATCCTGGTCTTTTTAATATAGTCTGATCTGTAAGAGAGTCTGTCTACTGAGTTCTTAGTTTTCTTAATATATTCTATCTTGAATCAGAACTCACTCAGTTTCTGAGCTTAGTAAATCTATTATTACAAGAGTTTCTTAATTAAAGTAAACTATTATAAGCTATTATAATTAGTTCTAACAGTAATCACTGTTATAAGATTCTTCAAGTAGTGATATCAGTGACAGAAGAATTTCACTATTATAAGAAACTTTTAATTATAAATGTTATAGTTAATCTCTGTGAGTTGTATCTTTCATAAGAAAAAGATCACTGAAACTCAGTTCTCATTTAACTGTAGTTATAAGACTATTTCTGAAATTATAAAGAAGAAGATATCTATCTTCAATCTAATTAAGAGCAAGAGATCAAAGTGAAATAGTATCACTGTATTTATAAATATCTGTTTTAATCTTATAAAAACTCTGTGAGCTTCTGAGATAAGAAAGTTCTTATAGTTCTTTCTTCTCAATAATCTTTTCATTCTCTATTTATAGAATGACTTCTTTTTATTTTCACTCTTCAGCATGTCTGTAAGAGTTAAGAAGATTCTTATAAATACAAAGATAAATCATCTATAGAAATTCACAAAGCTCAGAAAGATCTGAATCTCATAAATACTAGTTAACTTCAGTCATGATAGAATAGTCTTAATTTATAAAGATTTCATCTGAATATCATCTGCAGTGATTACATATTCTAGAAAATTAATTCAGTGAGTACTGAAGTTACACTTCACAAACTTAATATACAGTTCTGTCTTATCTAAGATCTTCAATACACTTTATATATACTCAGTGTGTTCTTTCTTCTTTGCAGAGTACACTATCACATTATTCAGATATATTATTACAAAGACATTCAGATATACATGAAGTATTTTATTAATAAAAGACTGAAATATCATGAGAGTATTAGTCAGATCAAAAGACACTACTAGATATTCAAACAATCTCAGTGCAGTTCTAAAGACAGTCTTTTATTCATTCTCAGACTGTATTCACAGTCATGTATATATATTGATTATATTCAGTTATATGAATATAACAGCTTCTGTAAGACAGTTAATTACATTCTTAATCAGAGACAGAGAGTAGCAGCTCTTTATTATCTTAAAGTTCAGATTACAGTAGTCTATACACAATCTGAAATCTTCATTCTTCTTCTTTATAAATATCACAGAGACTTCTGCAGAGACCTGTAAAGATCAGATAAAGTCATTCTTCAGATTCTTCTTTACATAGGTTCACAAGATCTCTGTCTTATAATGAGAGAGTTTATAGATTAATTTCTAGAAGAGTTTCTATTCTTCTATCAAATCTATTATCAGATTCTTCTCATAGTGAGAAGAAAGCTTAGCTATCTTTACTAAACTGAATATCTCTGTAAGATCTCAGTATTTCTCTGATATCTGAAGCTCAGTTTTTATAACTGTGAGATTCTCAGATACTTATAAAGTCATTATATAAATAAGCTTATCTTCTCTAATTAACTCTGTAGCATCAACTGATTCTATCTCTGTGAGTAAGTCTGTCAACACTGATCAGAAGTATAAACCTGACTTATAAACAGCTATGTATGAATTGTGTCTTTGAAGTTATACAAGTCTCAAGTACATATCATCTGTGATATTTACAATAATCACAGTTTTCACAAATCTTCTTCAGGTTTCAGAGAGATCTTGTAATTCAAAGATGACTCTTATCAGTCTCTTAACTCTCAGATCTGAGTTCTCACACTCTGCTTATTACAAGAGTAGATTCTCAGTCTTCATCTTTCAGCTTATTTACTCTGTGAGCTTTAGAAACATCACAGTGACCTGAGATTCTGAGTTTATCAATACTTCTCATACTTATAAGACAGCAGTACTGCAGTGCAGTCTCTCTTCATAAGTAAGCATTTTCATCAGAGAAGTAACAGATTCAGATATCAGCTTCAAGATTCTTAAAAAGACTGTTACTGACTCTGTTCATAACTCTTCAAATTTCTATTTTAATTTATCTGAATAGTTTGCACAGAGATATTCTGATTTAGAATAGATAAAGCAGAGTCTCTTTTTCTTAGTCTCTCTATTATACACTCTGTTTACAGAAGCTTATAAAGCTCTCTCTCTCTACTCAGTAGTCAGATATAAATCTCTCTGTATCTTGTTATCTTTTTCTAATAAATCTGTTCTCTGTTATTCTGACTCTCACAGAGTCAGTCAGTGATCTGCTCTTCACAGATCTATGACTCTCACAGTAATTTATAAGTAATGAATAAAAGTTATCAGTTTCTTCAGAGTTAAGAACTTAGAGTCTTACTCAATAAACTTATTCTATATATCTTTATTTAGTCTCTTTATAAATATCATTATTCAGATCTTATTTCAGAGCTCTGTTTTCACAGATCTCAATTTATATCATAATTTTATAAAGTACTGTAAGTAGTCTTCATCAGATTTCTCACCTCTTTTTCTAATATTAATAATTACAGTTCAGATGTTCTCTGTCTGACTTACAGAGTTCTTTAACTTATTCTCTAAATAGATCTTGAGAACAGATTAGTGAAATCTCTTATAATTATTCTCTAGATAATTCAGCCAGTTCTTGACTTCAGTGTAATAGAGATCTGTTATTATATAGATAACAGCTTCTTCATCTTTCATATCACATAGTCAGACTTGTAAGTCAATTTCAAATACAAACTTATAAAAGCTTTTATAGATTGTGATTCAATAAGTAATCTTAAGTAGTTATAACTTAAGAAAGTTTCTTTTCAGTTCATAGATATCTCTGAAGATTATGTTTAGAGACTCAGTTTAAGAATGTTTACAGATAGTAAGTATTTCTTATAGAAAAATAGCTTAGTTCTGTAGAAGATACTCAAGAATATTCTTCATTGAGATTGATTTATTCATAAGTTCAGAAAGTTTCTCTGTCACAGATACAGAGAATGATATCTTATAAGTAGTTAATAAGTTCTCTGAGACTTCTTTTATGAGAATTATTCATAATTCAGATAACTGCTTCTGAGTGTCTGTAGTAGAGTTCACAGAGATTGAAGTATATAAGTTTCTAGTTCTTTCAGTCATAACAGGCAGTTGCTGACTGACTGAGCTTAAAATGTAAGAATAAGTGCTCACAGATGATTATTCAGATGTTTACAGCTTGATATAATATATACTGTTAATTACTAGAAGTATTCACAGTAGAAAGATAAAATGTAAAGATTAAATATATAATAGTATTCAAGCTGAGTTATAAATAGTATTCACAAACTTCAGTCTATATAGTTGTGTGTAGCCAAGGGCCGCTAGCTCTATTGATTACATGAGAGATAGAAATAGAGGTAAAGAATCCGTGAGAAGCGGGATTTCTTACAATCACATTCTCTCTTATCAGATTCAGTCACACTTACATAACTATAACATCTGCTCTAGTCTCATGCGGATTAGCATGTCACTAGCATTCATGATCTTATGACCTATCTCTGATTCAGCTAGCATTTCACATACACTCTCTCAAAGAAACTTTCACTATATTATATCACTTATTCACTCACTTTTCTCATTCTTTAATCATCTTCTTCATCATTGTCATTATCAAATATCATTATTATTTCATTTAAGATTACTGCTTCTTCTTCTGTTCAACATCTTCTATCTGTTTATCTATTACATTGTATGTATTTCTGACAATAATCTCTTATTCTCATAACAA